AGGGACGGATATTCCGATCCGAACCGCAAACATATGTCAGATATTTTTTCTTGCATATTCTAGCATATTCCATTATATTTTAAATTCTTTATCTTAATTTTCAATGAAAAGTTATATCATTACAACCGTAACTACTTCATTCAACAGCGTATGAATTACAAAATCATTCATAACGGTAAAATGACGTCATCTTTATCGTGCCATTGAACAGCACGCGACTCATCTGGAACCCCCCATGCCAGATGAAATTTCCGGCATGGGTAAAACTAACGGAAACGCCAGTCTGATATGCAAGAAAGTAGATTCTAAGTTATGTATGGTTTACAATTCTTCACAATTCCCCCCCCCCACACACCCAATTTTTCCCAAAGTCCAAGTAATAAATTGCAAATGCATATTCCTTAAACAAAAATACACATTTGTGTTCACATGATAATATATTATTTTGAAACACATTTTAAGATTTTTACCATGAAAATATTATAAATCTGGAGGCATGTTGCTTTGCTTAGTTCACTGCAGAAACAATATGTATCATTACACCAAGCGTGTATAGTTCTTTAGAGGGTCAAGTTAATTTATTCAGAAATGCAAATTGCATTTATTGTGTCATATTGAATATCTTTTGTTATTTTTGTTATATTTACTCTACTTTCAGATGATCTGTATAAAGTCTATCCAAATCTGTACAAATTTGTAGCAGGGCTACATTGTTTATATATCTTTAAAACGCTTGATTAACAAATGTATTTGTTGTTTTAGTGTTGCATTAACAATGAGAAAGATAAGACATTTATTGATAATTAAATATAAAAGTCTAGACGGATTTATGATATATCAATCGTTTTACAAGTACCGAGGTAAAATGCTTTTGCATCGAGCTGCATTAAAAGGAAATTGAAGGGGATGCAGTGGTTTTTATTAGCATGTTGTTGCGCAATTGATTTCAAACCAGTTTTGTATAACCTGTAGGAGCTTGAGATTGATTAAAAACTATAAATTATTTCAATTACAATATTGTTTTATAACTCATCTTCAGTTCAGAGAAATTTCAACAATAATTGATACTACAGTACTGTAGTTGTTCTGTAAAACGTAATTTGTATCAACATTTACTCACTGCTTTGTTTTCTTTGTGCCTATTTCAAACTGTTTATATGATTCTGTATAATATCACACGTTTGTAACGCCGCTTTTCATGGAATAATTTCACCGTTATCAAATCTTTATACACGGCTTTCGGCAATTTTTAAAGTAACTTTCCTATCTCAATAAAAACATATTAATAACCGCTATGTTAGTATTTCGTTATAAATATATCCAACATGCAATATGATTGTGTATAAACGGTTGTCTGAAACGTAACATTCGCCTAGTGACTCGGGTGTTATGGTCTTATCTCCTTTTTAAACTGAAGTTTATAACTTGTCAGATATCTTTATAAAGGTAATAGATCTACAATTAAAAAAGTTTGACAGTTACAAAGGACAGTATAAACGGGTTTAACTATAAATTGTAAGAACCGAACACAACCGTTTAGCTTAAATTGATAAGGAATGTTTGATGCCGCATAATTATATATTTTTTCAATCGAAATTGATAATACATTTAAAAAACCATTATGCACCAATGACTTACATATAATTTTGTTATTAGACTTTAGAACTACTCTGAAATAATGAAAACAAAGCAACTAGTAAGAAAATGTGTGACTTACTCGGAGGTTAATATTTAAGTATAGTTTGATATCAAGAGAAGAATGTTTAGTGTATCTTTCTTGCTCTTCGGGATTCCGGAAGAAACATTTCATATCGATAATAGCAATGTCTTACTGGATATAGTGTGTTGCATTACAAGCAAAATAAACTTGTCAAATGACAATCTTTATTACAATGGTTCTGTTTTGTTATAATTATTTTTTAACAAACTAAATTAAATGATGGAACAAGATTATTAACTCATAAGGAAAAGTATAACGCGAAGTAAAGACGTAAATATCAAAGAAAATGTCAGGATTTAAATACATATACACCTGGAAATAAGTTAAGCACACCCTGGAAATTTATAACAATTATTGACAGTGTCTCTTTGATTTATGCTTGCGATATTTCTTGTATTAAAGCAACATGCCTCAAGATTAATGCTTTTCCTTATGAAAATTTTGAAAATGTATTTAAAAGTAAAATATTGTAAAATGAACATAGCTATTAATTTTACAAATGGCACTTACAATATGTAAATTTACTAACAATAATTCAGATAATCAACCAGCCCTTACTCTGTTAGTAATGCAGAAGACATATAGTAATAAATCAGACATTAATCGCACATAACAAATTATTACTTGAATCTTGAATCGTTTAAATTTTTTTACAATCTTAGTTCAACTTACGCAACGTTGATTTTCTTGAAATATTTTGGCTGATCTGATAGCATGCAGCTTTAACTAATTTCAAAATATAATGTATATACAGCAGTTCTTCACATGTATTCTCATTAATATCAGTATCAGTATATCCAGCGAGACTAAGGGCCCGTCTACACCTATCCAAGTCTTGAATGCAAATATCATACTCTCTTGTATTGCATAGTGTAGACACCCTACTTGAATGAGTTTTAAAGAGAAATTATGTGACATCCAAGAAGATAATTCCTTGCAAGAAAGTTAGAACACGTTCTATTTTTCTACAAGTTTTTAGCTGTCAAGACACTGATAACACCGGTTTGACACAAAACATGTGCCCAAAGGTGCGATAGTGACATAGTGTTGTTTTTTTAATCATTTTCTGACTTTTTTGTTACTGATTCAGTGTTCATGATCTGTAAATTTTAGTAAATGCATACAATATCTTGGTCAGAGGAACATATCAATACAATGTCAGAAGAGCAAAAAAATCAAAAAAAAAAAAAAAAAAAAAAAAAATCAGTATTTAGTCAAAATGGATTTTAAATGATTGTAAATGATCTTGTTCATTTAGTGAATTACTTTCATCAAATAAAGAATTTGCATCAATTTATCAGCTCAAAAATATATTTTCTCACATTTTCCATTATTTTAAAAGAATGTACAAATTTCAATTTTATTTACTCCATTGTTTTTAGGTAATTACATCATTTCCCCGCTTTTTTATTCACATATTTTACAGTTACATGATAGTATTGCCCAGGATTTATACCTTTGTCTTTGCAATACTATCATGTTTCTGTAAAATGTGTTAATAAAAAAAAGCGGGAAAATGATGCAATAAGCTAAAACAATGGAGTAAGTGAAATGCGTACATTCTTAAAAAATGGAAAATGTGAGAAAAAATACATTTTGATGCAAATTCTTTATTTGATGAAAATTATTCACTAATTTAAAATGCATTTTGACTCTCTTTGAAAAACAGATCTTTTTTTATTTGTTTTTAATTAATTTATTTATTTGTGCTCTTCTGAATCTGTGTATCAGCGTATTGATTTGTTCCTTTGACTAAGACATTGAAAACATTTACTGAAATTTACTGGTCATCTACACTAAATCGACAACACAAAAGTCAGAAAATAATAAAATAAACAGCACTATCACATATTTGGGCACATGTTTTGTGTCAAACTGGTGTTGTCAGTGTCTTGACAGCCAAAAACTTGTAGAAAAATAGTACTTGTTCTAATTTTCTTGCAAGAAATTATCTTCTTGGATGTCACATAATTTCTTTTTAAAAACCATTCAAGTAGGGTGTCTACATTATCCAATACAAGAGAATATGATACTTGCATACAAGGGCCCGTCTACACCTATCCAAGTCTTGATCTGTTACTTTTAGTAAATGTATACACTTAAACGGTCAATATCTCAGGAACAGATCAATTCACTGAAACACAGAAGAGCATAAAAATGAAAATAAAAAAATTAGTTTTTCAAGTAGTCAAAATGGATTTTAAATGATCTTGTTCATTTAGTGAATCACTTTCATCAAATAAAGAATTTGCATCAATTTATCAGCTCAAAAAATATTTTCTCACATTTTACATTATTTTAAAAGAATGTACACATTTTAATTTCATTTACTCCATTAATTGTTTTTAGCTAATTGCATCATTTTACCGCTTTTTTATTCACATATTTTACAGAAACATGATAGTATTGCAAAGACAAAGGTATCAATCCTGGGCAATCTTAATTATACATTTCAGTAAAAATTGTGCCTGATAATATATTGAAAGGGCCATCTATTTAGCTTATCTAAATGTGACATGTAAGAAACTTAAATAGGTGTAGACGCAGCCTACATGTTTAACAGATGTGTTCATTTGTTCAAGGTTAAAAGATAGGACGGAAATTGAAACGCTTTACTTTGTCACTGTTAAGATATACTATCTATATCCTATTATCGCACACATGATAAAAGTTGAGTTCTATTAGCTAACAATATATTAGGAGTGGCATTACATGTAAACTCAATAACCGATAGCGATAGTTTGTTAACTGTTTATAAATGAACTGCTAAGATTGTTTATACATTGCACATAGCTCTTAGTAGAAAATATGATTATTAATTAATCAGTGCAATTATTAAGTGCTGTTTTGCCCCTATTTGCCTCGTAGTCTATTTGTTTCTTTCTGTTTCAACAGTCCTTCGCAATTCTATAACAAAATGTTTCATTTACTTTTACGTGTGCATTCTTTTAAAAATTAGACTAGATCAGTATAAAAAACATCTTTTAAACCTTTCAAAATGGGCATGCGTCTAGACAGATACATCTATATCAAAGTTAATAGTGTAGACTGCTCGCTATTAGGATCATCCAGGTTTTCGTTAAAGCAAACCAATATTAGAATCAACAATACATTTGTCAAAATAGTCCTGATTTGGAAAATCAAAAACTTACTGTTGATCAGAAGTTTATAAATGAATACATTTTGAAGCATGCATTAACTTGATTAAATTGTAACTTTATTAACCTGACGAAATACATGATATGTGTTACATTATGTCGATCAATAGCTAGTACATGTAAAGGCACTAGGTTAAAAGGTAGGACGGAATAAATTGAAGCTATATAAACGGGGGAAATATCAACACTTTATCATAAACCATTCGTGAAATAGCACAACACGGTCTAGAAATTTACACGAGTTTAGATTTATACAACATGGAGGAACAAACTGAAAAGGTAGGACTATCATTTTACTTTAATCATTTATTAACAGAAAACAAATGTAATCATATTGCATGACATTAATTTTTTTCTCCAAATGTTCACGACAGAAAACACAAACAGAAAATCATCTTTTAATTAGGCATTTTAATTATTCTAGTGTTCGAACGGTTGAACTTTTATTTCATGGTTGCACATTATTTCATAATTATTTCGCAATATTTATAATTTGCAATCATATGTTAACTAAGAGAGTCCCCTCTTATTCTAATGCATAACTGGTTCACAAGCAAGCAGAATCAAGTTTTATTTATAGTCCTAATAGCGTGCAGTCTACAATAACAGAAACAACAAAAACAAGTGAAAAAGGTAATTATTGCTTTTTCAGCTTCATATTACATAAAATTGCATAAATATTTAACATTTAATAATAAAAGGACTATTATAAAGAATTTAAAGAAGTGATAACTTTGAACACGCTCCAATTTTAGGCTATTTTTTATATGTATATGACAGTTAATAAATTCACACACAGGCATGTCACGCTTACGACTTGACCAAAATAATTATACTACAAAGGTTACTTACCGGTTGGGAAAAACTTAATTGGCCACTGAGGTTGAGTTACACTTTCAGTTGACATTTCGTTTGTCTAATTTGCATTGAATTGACATTTAAAGAAAAAAGGGTTGTGGACATTATTTGTATTTATTTTCAGACGGTTGAATCCTACTGAACATAAAATGATCAAAGTATATAGCTTAAAATTTTAGAGTAACAATAAGTTAACATGTGCACTTCGTTAAATGTACACGTATAATTAAGCCGTACGCATTGGAATATTATCATCCTTTCTAAATACTCTATCATATGTAGTTAAAATATTGACGAGATTTTATCTTTAGGTCTACTTTCTTGAGTAGTCTTTGTCACTATGCATTATTATCAGTGTATGTTTTGCCAAAAACGAGTTGAAATACAAAATTGAAAACAATAAAAGCGCACACAAATCAGGTAAATCTAAAACAAAAAGAGAAGAAGTTCGCTATAGAAGATTTTGTGATAGAATGCCGATGGTCAGCTGTATGTTTTCTATTTAATTACTTTTGATGTATATGTACTGCATCATCACATCGCTTTAAAATATTACTACGCTTTTATACTTGTACAAAAAGTATTTTATTTTGAAATATCTTTACTTTAAGGTATTTCCTTTTATCTGTTGTCTAAAAGAAAAATAATAAACAAATGAACATACTTGTTTCAGATCAAACTTGAAAACGGGTCTGATGTTACGGTAACAACACTAGAAGACGAAAACGGAAACCAGTTTAAAACCGTTACCACCGATGAAGTTGTCTTTCCATTTCCAATACTGAAAGTGGGACCTGAAAAACGATTTTCTTACGTTAAGAATTTTAGTTTCAAGGACGGAGATGTTCTCTTGTGTAGCTATCCGAAAACAGGTATTACTAAGTAACGTTGAATAGCTTTTGTCGTTTCTTCATTTTTTTCATTTTACAGACATTTCAAATGTGAAATTGATGCATGTATCTTTTCTGATTTATTTAGTTTAAAAGTTGAAAGGATGTCTTGATTTAAAATGGTCTTTGAACTTTCGTCCATATTTTTTAACACGGTCATGTACTGTGTGTTTATATGTCTTATTTCGATTTATGCACAAATCAAAAAGGCGTTTATAAATTCGTTTCTTGCTCACTAGATTTATATTCGAAAATGCGTTCATTTATGATACATAGTGCAAGTCAGTAATTCCATTTATCTTTGATTATTGTTTGTTCTTTAACATTTGAAGTCTTGTTTAAATATTAAAAACTAACTAACTATTTGTCATCCAAAGATGGTTGCATATTTCACCTTCAGCTTCCTTCTACTCTTTTATGACTCAGTCTTGCTTTCTCCAAAATTAAGATTTTTTAAGCAAATCTTGGGTACAAATAAAATAAGCTCGGATAATCAACATTTGCCGAGTTCTGGATAACAACTTTTAAATAAATCACAATTATTCCAATTAAAATTGAACAAGATATTTTTTTTCAGAATATTTACTAGATGGACTGTTAAGTGTTCATTTCTAGACATTTAAAGTGTGTGGTTTATATGCATTATAAGCTTACACGGTACATTTGCTTTAAATGCATCAACATTAGGTTTGGAATTTTCTAAGTCTGTCCGTTGTGTCTAGTAACATATTTTAAAATTTATAGATTTTAAAAGGGTTACACTTTTCTTTATAAATGAATATACACTTATTTAGAAACAAAAGTAAATTATGGCACACTATTAACAAAATTAATCTTGTTCTTTTTAAGGTACCCACTGGACAGCAAATTTGTTACATTATTTAATGTATGATGGACCTCTTGATGCCCTTACCTCACATCATCCCTGTCTAATAGACCGCTTTGATATCGAGTCTGCGGAACAGAGAGAAGGCAGACGAATTGTAACATCACATTTCCCGCCAAAGAATTTACCAACCGAACATTTCGAAAAAGGCGGGAAAACAGTACTGGTGTTCCGTAATCCTAAAGATGCAGCGGTTTCGTTGTATTATCAATTAAAGAAATTAAAAATGATAGGTGACTTTAAGCTGTCATGGAATAGTTACATAGATTACTGGCTTGATGGGAAAAGTAAGCATTTTTTTTATGTCAGTTATAACTTATTAAATAATTTGAGTTGAACAATATTGCTATGTTGCAAAACAATATTTTACTTCATTTCGGAAATATCGAGGACATTGTAGTCTCGTCATTTCATATTCAATGTCAGTGCAAGAAATATAAAGAATAAAGTTAGATTTACTTTCATGTCAAAGTCTTAGCAAGTCAATAACTGTTGCGCGCAATCCAGGTTAAATTATAATACACTGTTATAAAGTGTTACATAATAGTAGAAACATATTAATAGGGTAACTCACTTTGTAAAAACGTTATGTTGTTTAGTTTTTTAAATAAAAGGTAACGTATCGAAAACATTTTTATGTATTTCTGTTCAACCTTATTCAGTAAAAATGAACTTAATTCTCAACTTTAGTGTTGTACGGATCTTTCTTTGATTACTACAATAAGTGGCAAAAGTTGTTAGAAGAGACGCCAGATCTTGACGTACTTATTGTCCAGTATGAAGACTTGAAAATGGTTTGTTTTCTTTTCTTAAGCACAAAAGGGGTAAATTTAATTTCTCATATTTTTAAAAGGGAAAATATAACAATCCGTTGCGTATAAAAGCCTATGTGCTCATTTCTTGGCATTCAGTTGTTGTTCAGAGGGATTAAGGTCGTTGACTTGGTACCTCATCGCTGTGTGTTTAAATCGGTTCTACTATGTGAGGAGTTATCGAGCTAGCTTTCACAACGTCGAAGGTTTTACTAAGGTGTCCGTTCGTGTCAGTTCGTGTCTGATATTATGCACGGAGTGGCCCCGATGTCGTGACCCACCAATAAAATAGAAAGTCGCCATATGACCCATACTGTGTACCTCTGGCATTCGATTACACACATTTGGTATACAGTTTTATATATTTTAATGTCCCCTAGAGGTAGGATGCTACCGTCTAAACACTGCAAAATAAACAGCAACAAACAGCGTATGAGCTGCACGAAAAAAATATGGTACAATCATGGCATTCTCATCTAGCAATGGACACTAAATATGTACGTTTTATTTTACTTACAGGACAGTTTAAGTCAGTTACGTCGCATTCAGACTTACCTTGGACTCAGTCATTCTGACGAAAGACTTCAAGCCGTGTTAGATAAATGCTCGCTAGGCAATCTTAGGGCTGATGTAGAAAATGGCAAAGTTAAAACACCGTTAATTGATGAATCAGGGAAATCAATTCTTTACAGAAAAGGTATTTAATGAAAAACGGGATTTCTGAATTGTCCATATCATTGTTTGACGATTAAAAAGTTGAAATTAAGAGTTGTCTTCTAGGATGCAAGATTTGTCGTTTTAATATAGATATTATAGTCTGTAAATATTTTAATGCATAATATTAATATAATATGACTCTTTGAGACATAATTGTATATCTGAATACTTTCTTAAAATACATTTTTGTTACAGGGATAATCGGAGACTGGAAGAACCATTTTACTGTTGCACAAAATGAAAACATAGAGGCGGTGGCAAGTGACAAATTCAAAAACAGCATATTCAACTACAAAGCTTGGGGCTGTTGACATTTTCTTAGTGATTTCAATCATACGTTTAGAGATTTTCTTTTTAAATAAACATTCATTTACAGTTGACTTCTATTTAGGATAGTAGATGATATGCTCTATAATTTTGTTGAATCAAACAAGGTATGATCGAAGAAAAGATAATATCCATTTGTTTGAAACAAAATCAAAGATGTTTAACACAATCACAGTTGTGTGACACAATTATATTTTATACAGCAACTGCAACAAGGGAAGGGGCAGAGATAACAAACTCCTGTACATTCTTTTGGTAACAGTACTATATGATATGCCACGTTCGGTAACCTAGACATCTCTATGATCTAAGAATAAATGATAAGCTCACTTTGCGCCATCGTATTTTTAATGCTAACATGACCTGTTGTTATAATATTTTGTTTGTTAATAACAATTGCACGTAACCATCGTCCTAGTTCTGATATTTAATTAGTTACAACTCAGGGAATGAATGATGAACTATTGTTTCTGTTAATTTGATTTAGAGATGTTTTTCTCACAAAATTGAATGTAATCAAGCAATAATACCTGGTGATGTGTGACTTTACCAGCAGTGCTTAGTTCAAATCCAATAGAAAAATAATCATCTAAAAGGGAATTGCAGATCAGTCCAGTCAAAGGATGTTTTATATTTTCGTAACGGTATGTTAAAGTTACATTATGCTCATTCTTTCACAATCAAGTTGAGTTGAGTTGAATTAGTACTATATTTCAAAAAGGTTGACTATTAAAATGATGATTGACCAACGAACTATACAGAAAAATGTTAATGATACTATATATCAACGATCTAAATTATAAAAAGACTGCCCATCTCTTATAATAATTGCACATTTCCTATCCTTTGTAAATGATGTGTACAGACATTTCCGTTTGCCACCTAGATTACTGATTATTTTTTCATAGTAAAATCTACATTTGATAAGAATTATGACAAATTGTCATATTATTTTGACTTTTACCTGTTCACCGACCATTATCCAATGGATAGGCAAAATGTCACTTAAATATACATGTATAATATTGAAGCTATGCTTGAATTTAGGTGAGTTATGACAATGATATAATTTAATAAACAATATATAGTCATTCATCAGTAAATGTAAACCATACTTTACTCGTAATGAAGCACATATTTAGATATTAATAGTAGTAAAACCAGTTTAGTTAGAATAGTCATCAACTTAATTAATGTTCAAATCAATTTACTAAGCAAGGTCTGATTGTTTTCTGAGTCGTTAATAACATAGTTAGTAGGCATTTCTTGTTATTCAACCCACCAATCATAATAACGGAACTCGTTAAACGAACACAAAATAATGATAAATTAATATAAAGTATGATTAATAAAAAAGCCCGATGATTTGCAAAATAGTATGATGCTTACATTTTATATGGATAGATAAAAAGCCAGCATGTGTAATTTGATTTTCCTTAGCATAAATATTTGAAAGTTATAATTCAGTGTATGTGTTTCCGAAGACAACTTATACCGGTTTATATTTAATATGAACAGTAAATTACAAAATACCTGTATGTTTTGTATTTCATTTAGACGTCGTTGTCGAAGACTTTTAAGCCGAAACATTGTGCTTTTATGATAAAACAATACAATGTTGAATTTAATCAGGAGCTGAGTTAAACTTACATGCATGTTTTGTTCATATGACTGTATTAGAGTTAGGAAAATGTAATCAATAAAAACAACTGACAAGTAAATTCCAAGTTTCTGAATAAACTTCGATAACAAACATTTACAGCTTCCAATACATAGTAAAGTATTAAAGAAAACTCAATATAACATTATGCTGTTATCTTACGAACTTTGACTTGGCCAATATATTTCATGTTAAAATGACAAATAAAATTATATTTATAAGATATGTCCTACTTGCAGCCAAGGAAAAAGAAATGTGTAACCAAACCTCGTGCTCAATAACGTTATTAAAGGCCAGATGGCTATGAGTCATATCATTAAACAAAGAAGCCCATTGAATGACATTTAACACCGGAAACTATTTTTTGAAGACAAAATATACCAAGGAGGTTAAGTTCAAATAAGTAAAACATTACTAGATACCAGATAAATAATTATTGACCTTATTTTAAACAGACTGATGTATAACGTAAAGGAAATATGCCATCAAAGTTATTAAAAGTTTCTAGAAGGTTATACTCTATAGGAATCATGTTATTATCAAGAAAGCCATGTTGAATGACATTTTAAGCCGGAAGCTATTTTAATGTTCAGAAAGTAACTTTTTAATCAGTAAAGATATGAAGAGATAAACCAGTGCTTTAAGTATTAATTAATCAATAACATGTGTTTGTCCGCATAACTTTAACCGAGAATATAAGCATAACCTATATCAGAGATGCAACCACGTAATATTATTATCTAAATATAATATACATAAATATAAATCTAAAACGGTTAAAGTGTCTTGGCACAGGAAAATTTCTTATTTGTTGTGTTTCAGATAGCAACTATTACACTGTGACGTAGCGTAAACACGAGCTGATCTAATCTTCATTTGTATGTTTAATTTCGTGTACGAATTTTAGTGGTACCGTGTGGTTTCCCGTTAAAAATTGTAATTTATGAAAAATACTTGACAACAATAATGTTAAAAAGATTAATGAAACTGTAAAATGGTAAATGTTAAGGACGACAGGAAAATATTTTTTCATATTTATTTAATGTAGCTTTAAGCAGTATCTTTTCTTTATTGTTTTAGACAACGGTGTATGTATATTATGTTTTTTTTTTCTTTTTTTTTACCTTAAAAAGTTTTTGAATACCTTAAAAAAATCCATGCTTTTGGGGTAAGTTTGAGATAAATGATTCCAGCAAATTAAGTATCTTTATATAGCATATAATACATTGTTCTAGAGCAAGATAATAATTCTCATAATTTAAAAGATTATAATGAATCACTTACTTTGCATGTTATTAACAGTTTTTTTTTCAACGAATAATAATAAGGTTATAAACATAAAATAGTTCTATTGTTTTTATCAAAACTGGAAAAGTATATGGTAACTGTGCACATACATACCTTTTTTAATTGAAATGTATTTTAGTTTGACATATTGTTTCTGACCATTTTGCTACGTCTTTTATTCATCAATATATGTATGTCCTTGTTTGTTTTCCTTGTGTGAGGTTCATTCTGAAATGCTGTGTTGTTCAATTCAAATATGATTTTTCATAAAAGTAATTTTTACACACGAGTGAAAAAAAAGGTAATTTTACAATATAAAAAGGTAACAGTGTATCCTCATAAAGGTATCAAGAGCATCAAAATCAAAATGAATACATCTCTTATTCAGTCTATTCAAAGTGGATTGTAAATCTCTGACAACCTTAGCATTGTTTTAAGCTGCATTCACACATCAATAGTAAATGTATAAATGAATAAAAAAATATAACAATATAAGAATAAAGTGGTGGGTGAAAACGTATTATTATTTATACATGTATATTCATATGACAGTGGAAATGTACATAATATATAACTTAAATGTTTAAATGTTGAATTCTGCTTAAGCCGGTGCTAGGGGGCGTGGACGGTAGTTTGCACTGGACAGTACCGTCCATGAACAGGCTCAATCAAACCGAGCCTGCAACATTTTCAATTATGACGTGTTGGGCTTTCTTTTAGGGATTCTTACTTTCTTTATTTTATCACCACATCAGCGTTGTTTGTGCCGTGTGGAGGCTGTAAAACGTCGCCCCGTACATACAATCAGAGATGTTATATTTCCGATCCTTAAAGATCGTTCAGCACGACATTATTGTTGTGTTTGTGGTATTTTTTGTTTTAAATATTTGGCATTTTCTAGTTGGGTGGTTCCAATATTCCTACTTGAATAATGTTGAATCACCTTTAGGATATGTTGCCTGCTTTTTAACTTTGTCTTTTGACGTCTTATCAGTGATATGCAGGCTTCATAACCTCTGATCCCCTTTCAAAATTCCATTTTGTTTAGTTCCGCCCATTGTTTTCTCGTTTAGGGCACACGCTTTTAATTACTTGGGGATCATACGCCGCTTTTCATGGAATGGCACTACTGCGTCACATTGAAGGTTCCATGAACACATCTGCGGATGTTTCTAAATTCCAAATTTTACCATTTCATGTTTAAATGTTGAAGTCTGCTTAAGCCGGTGCTAGGGGGCGTGGACGGTAGTTTGCACTTGACAGTACCGTCCATGAACAGGCTCAATCAAACCGAGCCTGCAACATTTTCAATTATGACGTGTTGGGCTTTCTTTGGGGAATCTTACTTTCTCTATTTTAATAAATATAAAAGATGTGTCAGGAAAACACAAGAAACAAACAATAATTTTTCTTTGACGTGTTTAGCCAAGCTACGTACATAAACTATTTATCTATATTATTGGTTTCTTGAATTTCAAGACAACGATATGAACAAGAATTATCAATACCATATATCACAAATAAAAGGTTACTTTCGTAGTTCATTAATTTTGTGAATTATATATTATTCAGATATATCATCATTTTCCTCCCAATTATGAATGTGCTTTTGTATAATTTTTAAATTACTATAAACTATAAAGGCTTGATCTTAATCTTTCAGTTACCTATCATTGATATAATTGTAACATTATCAAGATTAGATAAAATTGAAAGATTTATTAAATTTTCATTGCTATAACCTCACGTTGAAATAAAAACAAAGTAGTTGTTTGTTCCGTTAAAACTGATACGTAATTCTACCGCTATATGTTGACATATAACTGACAGATATACCCTTCTTTTATTTTGTTTATTAAGACATCAAAACCTCATTGTGTCAATAATATTTAGTTCTCCTTTCAACATTGATAAGTAATTGTTCTGTATGTCAGGTTGAATTAAGATATTATATTTATAAAATCAATATTTTTACCGTCTTTCTTTAATGTAACACCAGTTAAGACATATACTCGTAGATGATTGGTGCTTTATATATACATTTTGATATAATATCAAAAACAAGAAAATAATTTAGATAAATGTAATAAAATAATTATGTAAGTTGTGTTGAACTTGGATGAATGTGTGGTACAATACCGAGTACAATCTAATCTAAGATTTATGTAACGCATACAGTACCATTGAATGTTACTAAAATGATACCTTTTTCTGAATTTATAGTCGTTAAAAGTTATGTATATTATAATACAAGGATATGTAAGTACAAATCTATAAAACACCAAACGCCAAGCTTTAACAGCAATCAATCTTAAATGTTATGCAAAAACAATGACCGCAATATGCAAAACAACATGCAATAACGCCTACAGTAACATAACTTTGGTCGACGTATATTATGTACTTTATCCCCACAAAACTAAAAGCAATGCTCCCCGCCTACTGTTCCATAATAAGCG